TTTTTTTTTTTTTTTCTCTCATCCTGGCTTCTCCTTTCCTGCTGAAATACCACCACCAATATTCTGCAATGTATCTTCCTTCTCTTTTCCTCCTTTTCTTATTTCACACCAACTTACATCCGCCCTTTTCATGCTTGTTTCTCTAAGACTCACTCCATTCTATACTGTGGCCTCTGAAGAATGTGGTCACAGGCGATTGGAAAGGTAAGTGATAGGTGTGCCATGGCCTCACTGCTCTGGGCTTCCTACGCATTCATCACTGGTTTGAACTTTCCCCCCTGGTTTGCTGCTCACCTTTCTAGTCTTGGTGTATATGAAGGACGTATGTTCACATCACATCAGGGCATCTTATTCTTATGAATGCTGCATACTTTTTTTTTTTAATATGCTTTTTTAACTTTTTTTATAATGAATAAGTATGGTTTGTAATAAAAACTATACAAATTAAGTTTAAGCATATTATTGTTTTTTCTAAGTCCTCTTCACACTGGATTTTGTGTTTAGGATTAGTAGTGTTAAAGTCAAAAGCAGCCATGCAAACATGAAGTTTTGATTACTTAACTAAACTGTTCATATTGCCTTTTACAGCAGTACAGTAAAGGCATGCTCCATAGCAGCTGAGCACTGCATGGTCTCTTCCTCTGCTGTGCTTCTAACGCAGTGTTTTCAGTGACGACACATGGTTGCAAAAATGCGGTGAAGTGTGTTGAGTGAATAACTTGCAGCAAAGTCAGACTCAATTTTTGTTCTCTTCTTGTGTTTGTGCCTGTTTTTTGTTGTATTTTGTGTTTCCGTCCTGTGGGTGTCACAGAAGCTCAAGCCTCTTCAGGCTGCAGCGGAGGTATGGAAGGGTGTGAAAAACCTGTTTTCCTGCCCGCTCCGTCCTTTCTCCCTCTGCTTTGCCCTCTAACGTTTATCTTCTTCTTTACACTCTTATAGCTTACTCGTTTGACACTGCCTTATAATCATTATTTTTAAAAACATATAGCAAAAATCTTAAGCTATAACTGTTAGTAGAAATTCTTCAGTTCAAGACGCAGGCGCAAGAATCAGTTCTGTATTTAAAATATTCTGCACATCTCAGAGATGTAACGACAGAGAGAAAGAGAGACTTGGAAGGACTGGAATAAGTTTGTGAGAATGTATTTTTACTAAACAGTAAGAGTTTTAAAGCACATGCACTAAAGTGATCTCTGCTTTCAAGAATTTGTTTTTCAAATTTTTCAGATGCTCTGAACCTTTCTTTGTAATGTAATCATTACAAAAAAATTTGATCTTTATTGGCAGTCAAGGATCTGTCAGACAGTTTTTTTTATATTTCCATGTGGCAACATGCCACAGATAGCACTCTAGTCTTTTGCAGAATACTTCACTTTGAAAATGATGGTCGTATACTGCCAGCAATGGAGGAAGTGAAGTTGCTGGTTTTCTTATCCGGGGTAAAAAAAATGGCAGCTGCATATGTGGTGTCCATATTTTTTTCATATAAATGTCCTAGTTTTTAATGATGTTACATTGCAAATTAATGTTTTTAACACTGTGGCTTGGAGAGAGCGGACAAAATAAATCGTGCAGATCCTGTGTGGGGTGGTATTTTTCTCTTCCTGGTCCATCTGTCCTCAGTGAATCCTGTCTTTATTCTAATTCTTACCATCCCCATTCCTGCTGTTTCCCTGAGCCAGAATTCTCTCTTCATCTGTGAATGGGTTTTAGTTCAGTTTCCACTTCTGACTTGTCTCTGTGTATTTTTAATTTTTTTTCCTCTCAGCTAAAGCAACCACTCTCTTCAGAAAAAACACCAAGACCATTGTTTGGGGCATGCAGACACGCGCCGTGCAAGGCATGCTGGACTTTGACTACGTATGCTCCCGGGAAGAACCCTCTGTGGCAGCCATGGTCTACCCCTTCACGTAGGTTGCGCTATTTCCCTCTGAATTAAATTAAAAGAGTGTGACTGTAGAATACTAAATAGAGTTAACTGCACAAATCAAATGATTTTTTTTTTTCTCTCTGCTCAAAATCTCTAAATCTACTCTTGCTGGTGTTTAGTTGTTTCTGTTTTTATCTTTGTCATATTTGTAAAATACTGAGCCTTTTTCTAAAAGCATATTATCAGTTTAGGCAGATTGTAAGTCGTGTACACATACAATAAAGGTTTATAACCTTCCGTGTTTCCAAGTGGCAAATTCCTGTAGAACATCTTAAGCTGCTTAAGTCTGCCCAATGTTCCTCTGTATCTGTAAGCCACTTTGCAACCCACTTTACGCCCAGCTCTTCCTTCTGATCTGTCAGAGTTTGTCAGTGTTGTCCGTTGCCATTGTCTGATCTGTGCTGTATGGGCATCGCCTTTCCTCCCCTATAGAGGTGTCCATATAGTAAGTGATTCACAGTGATGCAGCAGCCAAAAACCAGACTTATCAATTGAGCTGAATTTGAGTTAAACTTCTTCTGTTTTCAATAGGAAGCCCCAAACACAAATGATAAACCTTTAATTGACAGGGTTTAAGGAACTGACAGGAATTCATTTTGCAGTTGCAAAGTATTCATTAGTTGTACTGAATGGAGTTACTGCTGTGTTTCGAAAAAAGTTCTTCATATTTTGCTGATATGTTTCTGTTTGTTGCTCAGCGGAGATCACAAGCAGAAGTTTTACTGGGGCCACAAAGAGATCCTGCTGCCGGTCTATAAGAACATGGCCGATGCCATGAAGAAGCACCCCGAGGTAGATGTCCTGATCAGCTTTGCTTCGCTGCGCTCTGCCTTTGACAGCACAATGGAAGCCATGCAGTACCCACAGGTATGAAGATCGACTGTACAGTGTGTTGAGGTTCCACTAAACTTTTTCAGAGTGAACCCAGTTTATTTAATTGTGTTTTCAGATTCACACCATCGCCATCATAGCCGAGGGCATCCCCGAAGCTCTGACTAGGAAGGTGATAAAGATGGCCGACGAGAAAGGAGTCACCATCATTGGCCCTGCCACGGTACAGAGCTTCATCCCCCCGAACATCTTTGTTAAAAACATTTACACTCTTCAATAACACGGCTATAAGTTTAGACTGAGATGATGACTAAAGTGTAGTGTGGTATTTAATAGCCCAGCTAAAAGGGCTGTTAAATCTTTCAGGTAAACATGGTGGAAATAAATGCAGATTATTCTTGTTAATTAGGTTGGTGGCATCAAGCCAGGCTGTTTTAAGATTGGCAACACAGGCGGTATGCTGGACAACATCCTGGCTTCTAAACTTTACCGTCCCGGAAGTGTGGCATATGTGTCGCGCTCTGGGGGTATGTCCAACGAGCTGAACAACATCATCTCACGCACTACAGACGGCGTCTATGAAGGGGTGGCCATCGGAGGAGACAGGTACAAAAACTTAATTGCAGATCATTTACTTGAGAGAATTTTTTCATTTAAAAAAAAAAAAATGCATAAATCAATACTTGACAAAAAAAAGATTCTAGTTCCAGAAATGAGTGCTTACGTTTCTCTCTGTCCAGATATCCAGGCTCGACCTTCATGCACCACGTCCTACGTTATCAGGACACTCCAGGAATTAAGATGATTGTTGTACTGGGAGAGGTGGGAAGCATTTAATATCTAAATTATTTGGTCTGTGCTACTTGTACCAAATAGAATCCTGTTTTAAATATGTCCTTTACTTTGACACAGATTGGTGGAACAGAGGAGTACAAGATCTGCCAGGGCATCAAGGAAGGCAGGATAACAAAACCTGTGGTCTGCTGGTGCATTGGAACCTGCGCCACCATGTTTGCCTCAGAGGTCAGTTAGCTCTGTGGAAAATCCTGGCTTTGGATTTTATTGCTGCTCTTACCTGGAAGTTCCATTTTTTTCCAGTAATATGTTTTACTGCCATCTTCAGGTTCAGTTTGGCCATGCAGGAGCTTGTGCCAACCAGGCTTCAGAGACCGCGGTGGCCAAGAACCAGGCTCTGAGGGATGCTGGAGCTTATGTACCAAAGAGCTTTGATGAGCTGGGTGACGTCATCAAGTGAGAAATACTTTTCATGCTAATTTCCTAAAGTTTGGAACTGACAGGTTTCTGGGTTCCTCACTGTTATTGTGTTTGTGGTGAAACAGGACTGTGTATGATGAGTTAGTGGCCAATGGTACCATCGTTCCTGCCCAGGAGGTTCCTCCCCCAACAGTACCTATGGATTATTCCTGGGCCCGGGTAAGAACTTTATAATAGTCCTTTGTAAACTTACAGCTAATAATGTAAATCATGTACAGTAGAAGCCAATAAATACTGGATATAATGGTTATTTGTGGAATTTGTTGGGTTTTTTTCCAGGAGTTGGGCCTGATTCGTAAGCCAGCCTCATTCATGACAAGCATCTGTGATGAGCGAGGCCAGGAGCTCATCTATGCTGGCATGTCCATCACTGAGGTCTTCAGAGAAGAGATTGGTATAGGAGGAGTGCTAGGATTGCTCTGGTTCCAGCGCAGGTCAGTATGATGTCAAGAACACTGTTAGGTTTTAAGAATGTAGGATCAATTTCACACTTTTTTTTTTTTTTCTGTTTAGGTTACCACGCTACGCCTGCCAGTTCATTGAAATGTGCCTGATGGTGACTGCTGATCATGGGCCTGCAGTCTCCGGCGCTCACAACACGATTGTCTGTGCTCGTGCGGGCAAAGACCTTATCTCAAGCCTCACATCCGGCCTGCTCACCATCGTCAGTACTGCTCACATATTGATCAGTCAATAATCATGTCATCTTTTGTTGTTGTTTTTTTTTTTTCCCCCCAAATCTATCTTGTATTTTATGAGCTGCTCAGCTAACAGGATGATTTCTGACAAACTGGCCATAATGTTTCGGAATTGAAACGCAATTTATTCCTAAAAATCAGGGGGACCGTTTCGGAGGTGCTCTGGATGCGGCTGCAAAGCAGTTCAGCAAGGCATTTGACAGCGGCATGATCCCCATGGAGTTTGTCAACAAGATGAAGAAGGATGGCAAGCTGATTATGGGTATCGGCCACAGGGTCAAATCGGTGAGCAACACTCGACTTTATACAATAAACGGTGCTCTAATCTGTAAATGAGCCTCTTATTTATCAGTGGCTTAACTGCTTCTTCTGATTTTGATTAAGATGGACACGCAGCCATTGTTTTAAATGGAGTTTGATTCGGTTTCAGATCAACAACCCAGACATGCGAGTGCAGATTCTGAAGGACTTTGTGAAGCAGAATTTCCCTTCCACCCAGCTGCTTGACTACGCCCTCGATGTAGAAAAGATCACCACCTCTAAGGTATTTTAAACAGTGAAATGATGAAATGAAATGGCAACAGAAAGCTGCTACATCTAAAGAACCTGATGACTGCATTGACATTCAGGATTCAGAGATTGGGCTTTGCTGTCAAATAATTTGGTTAAACACTTTGAACAGAAGATTTTTCATTTATTTTTACAGCAGGCAAGCAATTATTCTCAGTTTTCCGCACAGGTGACCACACCTGCAGATTCCTTGATTGACAGTGGAATGTAACCAGAACGAAGACCTGGATTTTATAGTCCTATAAATAATATTAAACATTAATCAGGCTTTTTAATCTCATTTAACACTTTTTGTTCTAATTTGTGCTGTTATTCAGGGACGTGTGTCAGAACCCACGCCCAATGAAAAC